CACACCCTGCCCGTGCTGGAGAGCCACTGTGCATGGGTGGCTTTGGCCAAGATGTGGTGTTCTGCACAGTACCATGGCAGAGGGTTGGAACTACATCACAGAATGGGTCAGGCTAGAAGGGATCACAGTGGGTCATCTGGTCCAATCTCCCTGCTCAGTCAGGGCCATCCCAGAGCACATGGCACAGGATTGTGTGCAGACAGTTCTGGAATATCTCCAGAGAGGGAGAATCTATGACCTCTCTGTGCAAAACTGGATTAACTTTAAGGTCCCTTCCAACTCAAACCATTCCACAGTTCTATGACCTGTTTCAGCAGTCATGATCAGTAGCAAATTCCCTGTCAATATCTGAGCCTCACACAGTGGTTTCAGAGTCCATTTCCTGTAGCAGCACTGAGGCACTTTCAGACTGGTAGTGTCAGTAAAAGGTGCTGGTTAGCACAGCCTTTTGGCATCTCCTTGTAATTCTGTCATCTTGCAGAAGACTTGCTTGGATAATCCAGGTTTAATATCATGATACACTCACTGTAACACATCTAAAAATAGCAGTTGCATAACAATCCCATCATGGAACAATAGGCCAGAGGGAATTTGAGGTCGTGTTGTCTATCACTTGACCTGGAGGCAGCAGTGATGTGTCTTCATTTGCTGCAGACAAATGTTTGCTCTCCAGGACGTCCAGGGAGGTGCCTCAGTCTGTGTGGTCTGTGTCAGGGCTGCATTAGCTTTTCTTCAAATCACTTTTTCCTGAGTCATTGGTGTAATTTAAGCCTGTTTGTTTATTTTTTTCCTGTCTGCCAGGAACATGGAAATGAGAGTATCCCTTTGTAGCAACCTCTTACATATTTTAAGGCTGTTGTCTGCCTCTTCTGTCTTATCTTCTCCAGACTAAACAACCCAATTCCTTGCAATCTTTCCTCACAGTTCATGTTTTCTAGACCTCTGATCATTTCCATCACTCTCCTTTGGATTCTTCCACGTGGTTCCAATAATTTTTTTGAAGGGCAGTGATCAAAACCTGGAAGCAGTATTCCT